ATATGTATACACACATACATAAAAGATAATACAATAAAAGAGAGAAATATATATACATATACACACTTAGAAAAATATATACATACATTTACAATTATATACATACATATACAATATATATTTGACATACACAATGTGTAATCTTTGTCTAGTTTTTAGAATTATTACATGACTATGTTTGTTGACCCATTGGAAATGATAATTTTATATGTAATGTTAACAGAATAACAATTGTGATATGTGAAATATTTGAATATTTGTGATTATATAGAAAAAGTTAATAATATCCAAAAAGAGCTGTAATAAGTTTCTTCAACAAGCAATATCGTAACCTATAAATCGTAACCTATAAATTTTAGAATCGATGAGTTCTAAACTGGAGAAAGATAGACTAGCAGGGATGCGTGGCGGAGGGAATAGAGCATCTCAGGCTTTATACAGACCAGGAAGCGGACCTTTACGTAAAACAAGCAGGTCCGGCAGCACTGCCGACGAATACGACAACGAAATGGGCATGCAAGACAAATCCAGATCAACCTCCGTCCAATATCGTTTGAGACAGCCACAATTCAATAGATCCAATCAAGCAAAGGACAGTCCACCTCTGTCACAGATTGAAGATGTAGCTGAGAAATTGAATAACACACATATCCATTATAAAAATAGCAGTAATGTTGACCCGACATCAAGCACTGCTCACAATACCAGCAACACAGGAGCAGGAGGAGGCGATCCAAAGAGAAAAAATAAGAAACCTGAGCAGGCATTGTATGTACCGAAGAAAGTGAAGGAAGCATTGGCTGAACAAGATGCAACCAACAGGTAACATACGCATTGCCGTTATCTATTTATAAAACACGTGATGATAAGATAATCTTTAATATAGAACAACGAGACGATAGTTTCTCTGTTATGTAGTATTAACTATAGCCATTATAAATTTCCTCAGATCTCCCATTCATGGTGCCCATACACATAGTGCGTGGGAACGAGAGAGAGACGAGAGCGACGATCGTGATTCCCACTCCAACCGTAGTCACAAGAGCGATCGTAATCGCTCGAGCGGTAACAGCAGTCGGGACAATGATTGCGAAAGCAGAATCAGGGATGACAATAGTAAACGATATTCGGGTAACCGTCGACATCGTCATGTTAATGAGAACGAGGAGCGTTGGCGATCCGACTCACCGATATCTGCTAAGAACTATGCAAATCGAAGGGACAATTTACGCGAAGTCAGACAGGTTAGTGCGAAGCGAAACAATCTGGTCGAACGAAATTGACTGTAAAATCGTAACGTATTTGCGTATTACGCGAATTGTTGAAAAAGAAATTTATTTCGCACATTTTTAGGGCTCAGAACCGTTGTCGGTAACCAGTCAGATGAATGATTTTAACCGTACAAGAGACACTCGTAGCGTGGAACCTACTGGACATTCCGACAAATTTCAAGGAAAACCACCTTCAGGCAAGCGAAATAACGCGAAGGATAGTTTATCGAAAAATATGAAGCTGGAGCTTCTGCCACCACGGTTACAAAAGAAATATCTCGCAGATAATGGATATACTGTACCTACGAGTAATCCGGGAACGTCCACAGAGGATTCTTGGAACGGCGGCAGTATTATATTTCAAGTAAACTCTCAGAATATTTTCCATTGTAAAAACTCATCTGATTTATTTTCTTGCGTACTCTAATACGTTAATACACGATCACTCAAATATCATATCACGATATCAATTTCAACAGGGTTCATCCGGTTACAATTATGCACCGACGATGCAGCATTCGCAAACGATGCAAAACTTGCCACCATCCGGACCGTTGCCACCGCAATCTAGCTGGGCGAATACCGTGCCAGCGAGAAGCAGAGGAAGAGGCAGACTCAGACCCGAGGAGTTGGAAGCTACGGCTGGTAGCATTTTCAGACCTGTCACTCCTGAACAATATTCTGCGCCAAGTTCCAGATCTCATACACCCAGTCAGGAATATATGAACCGGTATGTAAAAAATTACTCTTCTTCAAGTGATTTATATGAGTAAAGTTATATTGATACATTGTGAACTCTTTGGGATCCTAACAGGTCTTACGATCGTCGTGGTAGCAACAGTACGTATACCAGCATGGAAAGTTTGAGCCGCACTGACAGCATAATGATGCCACCGCCGCCACCATTATCCACATCACCCGCAACTTCGCAATCGAATTCGAACAGAGGCTACAAGTCACCTGAGATCCATCGTAGAGGTGGTGCGACATCGCCAATCGCCTCGCAGCATCGCACTTGCAATACGTAACTACTTAATTAATTGTTTTTTCTTCCCTCATTTTTTCACATATATTCGCGATAACTTTATTCTTATTATAATTAAGGCAAAGAGTAACCGCAAACGCATACGATCATAATTTGGCATTGGACAAACAGAGCAATCAACAAACCACGAATATTAGCTCATTGAAAGTCGAAACATTTAATCCATCGTCTAATACTGCGTCTGATACTGGTGCATTCGTAAGTACACAAAGTTATAAACTAGTACTCTTGAAATGTTCCGTGTAACACACATAGTACAAAAATACATTTCGATACTTAGGATTGGAGCGAAGAAGTGGAATTGAATGAGAAGATGGAAGCGGAATACTTAAGTCGTAGTTCTTCCATACTGAGTATACGTGAGAGTACGAGCATGCCGCGAAGTCAAGCCGTGGGTGAAAGCTACAAACGACGTAAAAGAAAAAAGAGTGACAAGCACCACGCTGCTGACCGGTAAGTGTGAATTTGCTAGGTGTAAATTATCATTTCTTTCTGTCGTTCGAGAGACAATTAGAAGTGTGGATCGTCAAAAGATTGTTCATTTAGTGAGATTACGTTTTAAATTGTTCCAGCGGTAATAGCAAAGGACGAGGCAATAGTCGCGAACGTCAAAAAAATCAGCAAAACAGGGAGAATGACAGCTATAACAATAATCAAAAGAATAATAATAATAATAACAGTAGGCGACATGATCACAGGAGACAGCGTAATATTATTCAGCGTAGTCGAGAATCAAGTAAAGACAGGAATTATCGCAGCTACAGAAACTTCGACGATCACAGACACAGGTATGTCTAGACTACTTGAAATACTCGGAATATACGAGCATTTTAATTTAGACGTAGACACAATATTTAATGCGACGAAAGCATTGTAGAGTTAACTTTACGAATATTTGATTTCAGAACGGACAGGTACTTAGATGAAGATTGGAGAACGGGAAGAAAGATATCGATTTGCGACTCTGACGATGGGAGACAAACTCCGAAAGTCGCCTCCAATACTATTCCGCTTTCAAATGCGAATTCGAATTCAACAACTCATGGATCATCTCCGACGGGATATAGTAACGCTCAACCAGGAGTTTTAATCTTGCCTGATACTAATCAGTCGTCTCCAAAACAAACGGCTACAGGGTCTCAGCAAGGAGCTGGACAACAGCAACAACAACAACAACAACAACAACAGCAGCAGCAGCAACAGAGAACGTTATTTGATCCAAATAATCCACATAAACCTATCGTTATCACTTCACCTGGAAGTAGAGCCGCGGCACAGAGGTAATATTGACTTCTCTTGTTCTTATCAGAATTTTTTATTTCAGGAATTAATAAGCGACGATTTATTCCTATTTTCAGGGATAGTGAAATGCATGTTTCGAACGTTCTAGTATTTCAGTCTAATGTAGGTATCACACCGTCGCATCATTCTTTCCAAGGTGCTCAACTGGATGGTATGCCAGCGCCGTACATGAACGACCAATTGGGAAACATAAGACCGGCGTGGTATGAACCGTATTCAGTGAGGTAAGTATCACACACGTGTGCGTATGAATGCATTGTCGTATAATTTTCAGATATGATTGTGTGTTACTACATACGCTAACTTTGTTTCCATAGTTTTCACTCGGCGAAGAATCACTGCCTTCTCTTGGACATAGAACGCGCCGACCTGGAACTGCAATGGATACTAAGTTCCGGTGGTTTTACGTCATGTTGGGACAGAGTCTCATATATACGGCATTTCCTACAGCAAAGCTTAAAAATTCTGCTCGAGACCGATATCAAGTTCTGTCAGACAGAGAACGTTGAGCAACACTTCTGGAAGATATTGTTTTACAATCTGATTGAGATGCTACGGAAAGCGATGTCCAAAGAGAGTACGGAGGGACGAGAACATTACAAGAAGATAATGTTGAATATCATTGACGAGGGTACTACTTATCTGGAGAGTTTACTAACCACTCTAGAGACTACATATGACTTCAAGTTGGATACGTTTCTTGCGTCCTCGAGCCTACCGAAAGGTCTGGGACTCTTAGGACTGGCCTTAGTTAGCGCGCAGAAGATCTTCGTTTTTTTGGGTGACTTGGCGAGATACAAAGAACAAGCAAACGAGACGACCAATTACGGAAAATCTAGACAGTAAGTACTTAGAATAACCATGACGATCCTTCTACGAATATCTCAACGTTTTGCTTGATTTGGAAAATCCTTTTTTGTGCAGGTGGTATCTGAAAGCACAGCAAATTAATCCTAAAAACGGCAGACCCTACAATCAGCTGGCATTATTGGCACATTATGCAGTACGTATTTACGAATTATATGTAATTAGACTGATATGTTTGTACATGCCATTTTTTTCAACACTTATTGTATTTTTAGAGACGAAAATTGGACGCTGTCTATTATTACATGCGGTCTCTCATGTCATCGAATCCTTTCCATTCTGCCAGGGAGAGTCTTATTGCGCTGTTCGACGAGAATAGGAAAAAGGTAAGGCAGCTCGTAAAACGTACCGTCAAACTGTTTGTATTCATACTAACGTTAATAATATTTTGATTTTCTTTTGCCGCCAGTATCTACATTATGTAAGTAAATTTTGATACTTGGTGTGAGATATCTCCTAGATATTCATTCAGTCATTCATTTGGTCAAGGCTTTATTTATTCATTTGTTATTTTACTGCTCGTCACTTTTAGTTTTTTGTTTTGCGTGCTTTGGAGCCTTGATTTGTTCATCTGTGCACTTAAAAACTTTACATTTTATTAACTCTCGGTGGCAAGCGTGTCGAATTAATATATGCCTCTTGCGCAATTAGTAATTAGTTCAAACAGAAAATATTCTTGCATATATCTTTCTCATTATCAGAATACATATTTACATAATCATTTTCGTTGCAATTCCTTCATTCACGCGAATGTTAATTCTAGAAGATTTTGTAGAAGATAAACACCATACAAGTAGAAGATATACAAATAAAAGATATGTACATTGTAGCAACACTGGGAAGGTTGGGGGGTGGGGGACAGGGGCACTGTACTGCTGAAGTTGTACCTTCGAGAAAATCGATACAAGTACACAGTATCTGCTAACGATATGCCTGCGACATTTTTGAGGCCGCTTATTTATACAAGAGCAAACGTTTTCCAAGTTTCCAGAAATGCTTCGCTGTAAATCCAAGTCGTAAACTTTTCTTATCTTCGCTACAGCTCTGCACATTTCGTTAGCATGCACTTCTCGTAGATGCGGGAACTTGTTATACAAACGAGGAATACTGATACTGTCCAATGGACGCTCTTTGTATGACTAGCTGACTATACAAACGGAGTCTCACTGCTACCGGCGTCCCTGTTTCAACGGTAGAATCTTGAACGGGTTGAGTAGACAAGCATCGATTCTCTCGCGGTAGCTTAATTATGCGCATCAAATGTCTGGCGTTTAACGCCACGCGTCGGAAACTAAATAGCCATCGCTGAATCCGTAATTGACAGGGATACGGCCAATGGTCGTGAGACACACTCCGTGTAACGTTATGCAGTGCTCGTATTTCTTACACTTGTATATGAGCGGCAATGAGCGCGAAACGGAAACGTGCATAAGTGTAACGGCAAATTGTAATATACACCGACGCTATACAACTGCAACAATGGCTAGTTTACATTATGCACAGCAGTACCGTTTCTTTTTTTTTATGTCACGCAAATATGGTAGAGGTACTCTCTTTAGTAAACGAAATATTCTTAGTACGAGTCTATCGAACGTAAGCGGAAGGAAGAAAGGGAGTCGAAGGAGCGGGCGAGGATGAAGGAGAAAGAAGGCGCTAATATCATCGGCGGCGGGCTCAGGAGAGAGACGTGGATCCATCCGGGCGACGGTAGACGGGTGCGGCGTACGACGAGCGCGGCCACTGCCAACGAAGTGAGGCTTTCTCACAGCGACTTGGAGGAGTTATCGCAATTAACGAGTGTCGAGGTATGCATTCCTCTTGTAACCTCCTACTTGTCTAACAGCTTTCGGATGCTGTGCTACGTCTGTTCGCGGTTGGCGATAACGACACGCCGTCCGTTGACACGCAACATCCGTAAGATGTTCTATTCAAGGCATTATCGCATCGTGTGCTTTCCTACGCTATCGATAAATATTCGTGTTAACTAACGTGTTAACGTAGCCAACATATACTAAGCACGTTCGATAACACAATATTTTATCCATTATTTCTTCGATCTCAGTATTCATTCGTACTCATTGTTCGTTTTTGTCTTTTTATTAGGTGAACAAACGATTCGTTACTTCATATCTCCACGTTCACGGCAAGCTCATCACCAAAATAGGGTAAGTGTTAATTATTTTTTAAATTTCTCTCTTGCATGCTCCCCAGCAAAACGCAAGAGAAAGCGCGAATCGATGACTGCGCTATCGTGTATATATATATATATATATATATATATATATATATATATATATATATATAT